TCAGGCTTTGGGGATTCAAATACAAACATACTGTATTGTCTAGGAGAGTGGTTCTCAACCTGTGGATTGTGACCCCTTTGTAATAATGAAGATGCATCGAGGCATTAGGAAGGTTGAGAACCACTGGTCTGGGAGTTTTAATTTTAATGAAAGAGAAAGTTCAGGCATTTGTAGATCTCTTAACCTACCAGTTAATAGACAAGTTGCCAGCAATGTGAATATCTTAGTCTGGGTGGCAAAGTGAACACAAATAGGGTATTTTAACATAAGGGTAGTCAGAGGGTCGTGCACAAGTGCTGTTGATTGGAGTGCGAGGGTCCTCAGGGAAACTGGACAGGGTGAGGGGAACGAGTCTGAAAGGCAGGGAAGACTCAATGTTAGTTTTTTGTTATTTTTATGTTGTGAATTAGTCGTACTGAAAAGTGCGTAAAACATCTTCCGTCTGCCATTTTTAATTCTAGTAAACATATTTGGACCTTTTCTTTTCTTTTTTTAATTTTTGCAGTTTTTGGCTGGGGCTGGGTTTGAACCCACCACCTCCAGCATATGGGGCCAGTGCCCTACTCCATTGAGCCACAGGTGCCACCCTATTTAGGCCTTTCAATAGAGATTCTTTTAAAGGATATACTTAAGTTCTTCCTTTATGTGTATGTATGTGTGGCATATATATATACACAAAGATATGTGTGTGTGTGTATAAATTTCTGGCAGAAGGTGGTAGTAATGAACGTTTTATTAATGTTTATATTTGGGAATACCCATTGGGGGTGAAAAACATTTCTCTTTTTCTTCATCCCAAAGAACATCACACCTCCACTTATCTTATGGGGTTGGTTAATATTCTCAAATGTATCCAGTTGGCCTCTGTAAGAATTCTATAGCTAATTATTTATTAGTCTTAGAAATGAAAGTTTTGACAGTATAAAAGTAGGTTAGCCAATAACTGATGAACGATTTTGGCCAGTTTTATCATGGAAATAACAGGATTCAACATTGGTTTAGATGCTTTCTCACAGTGACCACACATCCATGTATGATGGAGTGATGTTCCACTCGCCCATGCTGTGGTGGAGGGATTTTTGTCTAACGCTAGAAATGTTGAACATAAAGGAGCCTAGACTTGAATGAAAAGGAGAAGGCAGAGAGGATATAGGAGATGCTTCTTTCTTTTTACTCTTTCCCACACATAGAATAGAAAATGAATCATTTCAGATATTTCAATTTACACTTAAGGACACACATGGGATATGAATTTGGCCATTGCCTTTCATCAGAGGATTTCTAAGCATCTCATAAGCATACTCAGTAATCTTCTAAACAGTCCTGTGAAGTTGTAGCTGACAATATTATCATCTCCATTATAGTGAGGAGTAAATGGAAGTGCTGAAAATACTAAGTGGCATTTTTATCTTCCACTCAGAAATGTCTTGCTACTTTACAGGCCAGTATTATTATCAACTTTATGAAGCTTAATGAGATTATGTGATTTGCACAACCTTAGGGAAGAATTTGGCATAGCGTGAAGGCTCCATGAGTCTTATCTGCTTTACTAAGTTTGTTCTTCAGCCCCCACTCCCACCTTCTGCCCTGCTTTTCAAAATCATATTTAATCTAATATTTTAAAAGGCCTTTACTGAGGGAGAATACCTGGGAAGAGTATGTTCTGATCTGAAAGGACAAAAGGCTTTTTACAGAAACTCAAGGACCCTCCTGCACGGTTCTCCCCATGGTGACTCAGCTTTTAAGAATTTGTAAAAACTTAGCTTCCTGGAACCTTGAAACTAACACTTGCTACCGATTCTGTAAGTCCTGCCAGTGCTTCAGGATGTCCTGTAAGGAGGCAATATGATTGCTCCTTGGTCTGCCTAGTTTTGAATCCCATGGAAGGACAGGGTTGGAGAGTGCCGCCATCTTGGACGCTAGTCCTCCAAAGAAGCTCTGCCGGCTGGAATAAAGCCCCTTCCTCTTAGAAACAGAGGTGTTCGGGTGATTCTACCTTTCCACTGGGCCTTACTTTCCTGCTCTGCTCCAAGAACCTCACATCAAACATTTCATGAGCATCTGAGGTGTCTATTCCTGGGTTTTAGCACAGTTATTCCTGGGCAAAAGGGTGCCTTGTACACAGCAGCTCTTTACTTTAATGAATGATAACTTGACAGTGATTGGGTTCAGTTCTAATACAAAGTTAAGAATAGGTGGCCGTAAGTTCCTCTTGTAGGTTCGCTTTTCTTCAATTCCCTCTTCCTTAGTTCAGCAAAGATGTGTTATGCACAGGACCTGAGATCTGAGTTTCTTTGCCTCAGGATCTGTGACAGCAGACAAGTTGCACAAACGCTTTTCCCTATTGTTGAACTAAATGATGTTTTATATTTTTCCTAGTGTTGTTCATTAAATCTTTCTAGGATTCTTGTAAGTATTATCAACTTTTTGTTGTTAGATGCCTGAATTATCTGAACACTACATGACACGTTTTTAGATTCTCACCAAACGTAGGTAAAGTGGGAGATGACAACCTATTTTAAGATCACTTTCTTACTTACCTCTACATATTTCCTTGGGCAACCTCGGACCTAATCTATAAACCTTTTAAATCCAAGTGTTTACTTTTTCTAAGAATTAACCATCGGTAATAAAGCAATAATATTTTGAACAGTTAACATCAGGGTGGAGTTAGTGTCCTAAAAGATAGTATTGCATCTTAAAAACAAAGGATAAGAAGTGCCGTCCTGGGCAGCACCTGTGGCTCAGTGGGCAGGGCGCCGGCCCCATCTACTGAGGGTGGCAGGTTCAAACCCAGCCCTGGCCAAACAGCAACAACAAAAATAATAGCTGGGCGTTGTGGTGGGCGCCTGTAGTCCTAGCTACTCGGGAGTCTGAGGCAAGAGATTTGCCTAAGCCCAGCAGTTGGAGGTTGCTGTGAGCTATGTGACACCACAGCATTCTACCGAGGGTGATAAAGTGAGACTCTGTCTCTACCAAAAAAAAAAAAAAAGAAAGAAATGCAGTTCTGTGTAACTTTAGTTTATTTCTTTATTTCTTTCTTTTATTTCTTTCTTTTATGTAAGACAGTCTCACTTTCACCCTCAATAGAGTGCTGTGGCCTTACAGCTCACAGCAACCTCATACTTCTGGCCTCAAGTGATCCTCTTACCTCAGCCTCCTGAGTAGCTGGGATTACAGGCACCCACCACAATGCCTGGGTGGATTTTTTGTGTAGAGACAGGGTCCTGATTCTTGCTCAGGCTGGTCTCAAACTCCTGAACTCAAGCAGTTTGCCAGCCTCAGCCTCCCAGAGTGCTGGGATTATAGGTATGAGACACTGTACCTGGCCTAATTTTTTGATTTATATTTTTGAAGTGTTATTAGTAACAGAACATCTCACATACCTAAATAGGGCAATGTATATGCCAAAGTGAAATATAATTTTTTAAAAATTATCTTCCATTTTTATTTGTTCATATACCTATCCTCTTTTTTGAATTAAGAATTCACATTAAATTCATTTCAAGTGAGCTTGTAAAAGATATAAATAATTCTTTAAATCAGTTTAATTAATCTCAAGAAAAATGTGATAGGCTAATGTGGATAATCATACAATCAAGCAATATTAAGTAAACCCTTTTAAAATAGATTGAATTTTTGTATTTAGTATTTTTACTACCTAGTAATTTTCTTAAAGTGACCATCTCTTCTATTTGTTCTTGTTGCTGTCTGTAAATTAGTTATTTATGAATAGTCATTTTCTCGGATCTATTCAAAATGGTTTTTGGTTTGTATGATGAAATCTTTATCATACAGCCTTTTTTGGGCTGAGCGCAGTGGGTTCATGCCTGTGATCTTAGCACTCTGGGAGGCCAAGATGGGTGGATTGCTTGAGCTCAGGAGTTCCAGACCAGCCTGAGCAAGGGCTAAGACCCCTATTTTTACTAAAGAAAGAGAAAAAAAGAAAAATTAGCTGGGTGTTATGGTGGGTGCCTATAGTCCCAGCTACTCCCATAAGGATCGCTTGAGCCCAGGAGTTTGAAGTTATTGAGAGCTATGATGAGGCCACAGCCCCAGGGTGACAGAATCTCACTCTGTCTAAAACAAACAAATAAAAACACGAGTCTTCTTTTGCTTTATGCTGTAATTCTCTAACATTTTAAATTGTTTAATTTATGTTTCTCAGGAATCAAGAAAGTACTTTTAACGTTGCATTTGTCACTGGGAAAACTAGTTTTAATTTATATTGACCTTTTTCTCCTCTGAGCGTGTAGCCTGCATTCAATAAAATGTTGATGACTGCTCTTTACAAGACAGCTGTATGAAATAAAGTATTATAAATATTCAGCTTTACTTTCTAAGCATTGTCACCAACAGCTGGGCATCCGTTTTAGTAGAACAGATTTTGCGCAGAGAGAGCCTGGCGTGTTCCTGAATCAGTTTGGTGAAGGAGACAAAACATAGTTTCTTATGGATTGGGGATTTGTAAAGACATAGAGCATCTGTTCCTCGGTTCAGTCCTAGTCTGGCTGCACTGAATCATGTTTAAAGCTAGAATAATGTGCAAAACTTTTTTCACCTTGCTCATACCTTTAGCACCTAGTGCATTATATCTGCAAATCATATACTTTCAACATCTCCATGGAAGGCATCTGAGTTATTTTGCTCTTTAGTGTAATTTTTGCTTAGTGGTATTTTAAAGTAGATAGATACACTAATATTTTACTAAGACTTTTATAACATGACTTTAGTATTTAAATTGTGTGGTAGTCCTTGTATATAAAACTACGTATATAAAAAAGTGACCATTTAAGTATTTAATTATCATTGTTTTGAAATATGCTATTAAAAACAAGCCATCATCATAAATAATTGCGATTTTCATATGGTATTCTGCTTTAAGAAATACTGTAAAAGTAGTTGACAAAAGTAACTTAGAGTCTTTGTTTATATATCTTTAATATTTGGCTACATAAAGCATGTCAAATATAATATTTCTTCAAATATTTTATTTGCAGGGTTAAAAGATCACTGAAATTAGATGGTCTAGTAAAAGAAAAGGTAAGTATGTGCTTAATAATTTGTGATTGCAGGATAAGATTGTATTTTTAATTTTTAACTACTGATTTACCTTGCTAATATAAAAATTACCAAAACACAATGTAATATAATTGATACACTATTTTTTGCATATAAAATATTTTTTGCAAAACTAATGTGTGGAGATTTCTGGTTATTTTGAGGTGCTTAAGAAATAAATTATCTAGAAACCTAATGAAATAATTCAGTAGCAATTAGTTCACTATTTGTAGAAAAAAGTAGTCTGCTGCTTAATGTACAAAAAACAACATAGAACGATGGCAGTACCTTTAATCTGCATACCATAAACTGCTAAAATGAAATAAAAACATTAGCAGCATTTTTATATCAAGAATGTAATTACCTCCTTCAGTTATGCTGGCATGGATTAAATGACAGAATACTAACATTGTAATCAATTTCACCATAGTTATCCAGTAAAAATAAAACTGTAATGTTGCTATAACTTTTGTAAATCTAGTCATAGCACATTCCTAGTGCCAGCATATCATGGCATATGTTGGTTTGTTATCTTTTCATTCCAACCATGGTTCTGGATACAGACACGAGTACTCAGTAATCTTAAATACAAGTAAAGCAGTGAACAAGTAAATTGAAACAAATAGCTAGTCAATAAAAGGGCTCCTGCAAAATCTCCTGTGAATGCCATGTCAAGAAATGGGTTTCAGGTGGAATTTCTCTTCGGAAGACTCAATGATATTTAAGAAAACAGAAATTTACCATTTAAAAACTTCCTAGGTGCTTTTAAAAAAATTTTAAACAAAGGTAGCAAAATACTGCAATGACAGTAAAAAAAATCATTAACAGTGTAATTAGCAATTTAGAGTACCATTATCCAACTTGTTCTGTGCGGAATGCAGCTGTGACTGTAATTCCGCATCTGTTTCTCTGGTCAGAATGGTATTTTGGTAGATGAGTAGTTCAGCTTGAAATGAAATACTGTTCTTTCCCGTCCCAAAACTGTTCTCGGGTTGGTAACATTATTTGAATGGAAAAGAATGGCCATTTCAGAACCCATTCTCTTCATGAAGTAAATTGTCACCAAGGCTCCATGAGACTTTCTGTCCATTTTTTCTTCACTTGAAGATGTGTCAAGGTAGGCAGTGCCACAGCTAATATCCCGTATTAGAAAAATACATTGTTTGGCCCAGTTCTGTCCCTTTAAACCCAGGGACTTAGCTCAGTACCAAATGGCCACCAGCTGCTTCAAGCTGGTTTCTGACATCCTAGCCTGGGCCTTTCTTCAACATTTTTCTTCTGTTTCCTCAGCTCTTCCTGATATTTTCAGTTATTCAGTGGAGCAAAGCAGTAAAATC